TCCCATATACCTCAATTCTTTTAGCATCTGTGGCTGAAAACACAGTGTCTCTCTTGGGAAGCCGGAATGCTTCCTCCTTTCTGACAGGAGAGGTTTCATTTTCGCTCTGGCTGCCAGGAAGCTCAGGGCTAAGTGGAAGAGTCCGCCCCAGCAGCCGTGTGAACCTCCATCAGCGTCCTTGTCCTTTCCCTGGGTCCGGTCACTCTGTTTCCCCCTTACGTGTGGGTGTTTGCTACAGGCCACTTCAAATTCTTCTTTGGAAAGAGAAAAATAACCTCCGTTAAAAGAATGTGTATCCTATACGATGGGCCTCCTCTTTGTCCTTGGCACGCGGGGCCAAGCCATCACCTTTCTTAAATAAAGCACAGCACAGCCTGAGGTGCTGTAGCGAGTCAGCCTCCATGTCACCCTCATGACAAGTGTGGAGCTCAGTGGCAGGATGTACATTCAGAGTTGTGCCACCCTCACCACCATTCGTTTCCAGAACTTTCTCATCCTCCCAAACAGAAACCGTGTGTCTGTAAGCAGCATTGCCCCACCCCTGGTAAGCTCTACTCTATGTCCCTCATCTCAGGGGAATCATGTAACATTTGTCCTTTCGGAACTGGCTTATTTCTGGTGTAATCTTCTCAAGGTTCATCCATGTTGTAGCATGCATCCAAATTTCCTTCCTCTTGAAGGCTGAATAACATTCCATTGTGTATATAAGCCACATTTTGTTTTTCCATTCATTGGTCAATGGACACTTGGGTTGCTTCCACCTTTGACTATTGTGTATGAGGTTGCTAGGAACATGGGTGTACAAGTATCTATTTGAGCCCTACTTACGACTCTTTTGAAATTGGATTGAGAAATGGGATTGCTGGAGGATAGGGTAGTTCTATTTTTAATTTTTGAGGAACTACTATAGTGTTTTTCACGGAGATTGCACCATTTTGCATTCCCACCAGTAGGGCACAAGGATGCTGATATTCTCTCCATATCCTTACCAACACATTATTTTATGTTGTTGTTGTTGTAAACAGTAGCCATCCTAATGGGTGTGAGGTGATATCTCATTGTGGCTTTGATTTGTGAATGAGGCACCTTTTGCACAGTCTGGAATACTTGGTCCCTGTCTCAGTTTATCCTGCTCCTCTGGTCCCTTAACAAGAGGTCCCTTAATCTCTCTTGCATGTTGTAGAGACTCCCAGTGCCTCAACCTGTGGTGTTGATGCTCTCGTCTGTGGCAGGGGCCAGATGATGCAGAACATTGTAGGTCGGGAGAAGGGACTGAGAATTTATTCCAACTCAATGTCTAGAGGAATATGGCACAGACTCTGAAAGCTAATTCCACCCTGTATGGAGCAGCACTGATGCTCGGGGAGAATGGTGGTGAGTGATTGGTGCTGGGGGGCAGCACTCAGGGGACCCAGGATAGCTGCTCCGGCCAGCCTAGCCACCTTGTCCTCCTAAACTGAAGAATGACAAAAGACAGCCACGTGTCACTGGATCACTAGTGGGACTTGGATCAAACCACTGTGCAGAACTCGGTGGATAACAGGCGGGAGTGTGTGGGGTTCATCATCCAACCTGTGCCTTAGACATTTGGCTTCCTAAGACCACAGAAAGCATTAATGGCCCTCTTTGGTTCAAAGGGAAGAAGCTCAGCTATTTTCAGTCTGGATGTTTATTTACATACCCTCTTCATCTCCTGATTCTCCATCCTGTACCAGCACCATGTTCTCTGTGGTCACTTTCCCCAGGGTGGTAGTGGACAGCTGAGAGAAGGGACTGTGGCATTTCCTTGTACACCTGTGAGCCTCTCAGGGTTGAGGAGAGTCTCTTATTTTTGTACCCTGCTGCTAGCCTGAGGCCAGGGCTCAGCAACTGTTTGGTTAAGCAATGAGAAAGAAGTATCGGCCAGATTTATACACCCTCCCCCTGTTCCCCAAAGCCCAACATCATCGGCATGCAGCCTGGTTCCACCTCTAGGTCCTGCCAGAAGATCCCAGAGCAGACATGTCCAGTGTGATCACTGTATCAGGTGGAGCTGTGCTGGGGAAATCCAGATGGAATGTGTGAATAGAACCATCTTTCTTCCTCATCCCATTCATAAGCACTTAATAATGCAGATAATTCAGGAGTTATGTGAACTCCAGCCCTGTGTACCAAGAACCCTGCAGCTCGAGGTAAGTGATCATTTGGAGAAATTTCTCTGATTATTACTTACAATTAAGTGTGCTTCAGAGAGAGTTCCAGCGGCATGCTCTGGACCTCCTTAGCTTGAGTTGGTGGTGGGCACCTGTGGTGCCCTTCTCCAGAGGATCTTCTCCAGAGGACCTTCTGCAGTGAGGACTATCCCCCAGTTGTTAGCAGCTCAGGGCATGGTCTATGATGAGGACAAAAAGCATAAGGTTGATGTAAAACAGGCTGCTACTGGCAGTCTGTGTTTCCAGTTTGTCTCTTAAATACATGATGTGAGGTTCATATTTGCCCACTTAAAAATAATTCTTGATCACCTACACTCTTCTGTGTTGGAGATACAATGGTGAGGAACATCAAAGTTTCTTCTTCATGGAGCTCACATTTCATTAGAGAAGAGGTAATAAACACGTAAGTCGGATCAGATAGTGGTAATTGCCACGAAGAAGATAGGATAATGGGGTAGGGACTGAGCAGGGAGAAGAGCCAGAACCCCATGCTTTTTAGATAGGGAAGAGCTTGGTGAAGAGGTGGCATCTGAGCTGAGACCTGAGTAGGTGGAGACTTGGGTGGAAATCAGTCTTGGCAGAGGAAACAGCAAAGGAAAAGGAGGCATGCTCCAGGGATGGAGAGAAGGTCAGGAGTGTGAATAGAGCGGAGCGAGTGAGGGGGAGGTAGGCAGATGAGGCAAGGACAGGGTCTGTGGTTCTCACCCTGGCTGCATGTGAGAGTGATCTGAAGACCTTTAAAAATTTTCTCAGTGCCCAAGCCCTACCCCCCAGAGACTGTGATTTAATTGGTCTGCGGTGGGGCCTGCACAGGGATAATTTATGAAAACTCCCCAGAAAATTCCACAGTGCAACCTGCGTTGAGAACGTCATCAGTCTTGATCATGCAGAGTCTTACAGACTGTGGTGAGGAGTTTGGACTTGAGCTGAATGACAGTGGGAAACCATTAGGTGGTTTGGGCTAGGGGAGTAACATCTGACTTACGTCCTTGAGAAGCTCACTTTGGCTGCAGTGTGGGGAGTGGAGGTTGGAGGTTGTTCGGGTGGGTTCACTGAAGAAATGATGGTAGCCTGAACTGTGGTGGTATTGGTGGAGATGGTAAGAAGAGGTCCCTTTGGGGATAAGTTTTGGAGGTTGCACTCACAAGGTGGATTGGGTTTAGGATGTGGGGCAAAAGGAAATGAAGCTTGCCTGACAGGTAACCTGAATAACTGCGCTGATGGTGGTGCCATTCACAGAGCTGGGAAGGAATAGGTGTGAGAGGAAGGGGAATAATTGGGTCCATTGGTTGGTGTGCAAGCCTCAGGCTGTCTTCTCTCTAGATTCAGGTAACTTGGAGATCCAGGCAGTCAAATAAGGTTGACCAAAAGATTCTGATATATTCTGTTACTATAGTACTGAGTTTCTTGATGTCTTCTAAAGGTAAGCCCCAAAAGCAATGGACTGTTTTAGTGCATGGAAGCTGTGATGAGAAGGGAGGAGGAACAAAGAAGAGAAATTGAAGACGTTGAGCTTCTTTCTTTTTTTTTTTTTTAAAGATTTTATTTATTTATTCATGAGAGAGAGAGAGAGGCAGAGGGAGAAGCAGACTTCCCGCAGAGCAGGGAGCCCGATGCGGTACTCGATCCCAGGACTCCGGGATCATGACCTGAGCCGAAGGCAGACGCTTAACCATCTGAGCCACCCAGACGCCCGTTGAGCTTCTTTCATGTAGGAATCAGACTGGATGTAGGGGAGGAATGCCCTTTGAGAGGCCGCTTAACACCTGTCTTGCTATAATCCAAAATAGCAGGTTATTTGTGTTTGACTTTAAGGGGATTTTTTCCCCCAGCAGAATTGTCTTCTAAAATATTTGTAGCTCATACTAAGATTATAATTAATTTTACTTCCCAGACCAAGCCCTAGATGTCCAGCAATTAAAAGTAACCCAGAGTTTTCACCTGGGTGGCTCAGTTAGTTAAGCATCCAACTCTTGATTTTGGCTCAGGTCATGATCTCAGGGATGCGAGATCAAGCCCCAAGTCATGGAGCCTGCTTAGGATTCTCTCTCTTCCTCTGTCCCCCCCCCCCCCCATGCGTTCTCTCTCTCTCTCTTTAAAAAAAGGAAAAAAATGTAACCCAGATTTTTTAAGTCAGGATCAAATTATTAGAATGACTTACAAGACCTTTACATGGAGAACAATATGAACTTCATTAAAAGAGTTTACTTTTCCCCTGATGGAAAAGTGGGTTAAATTGCAATGGTAGAACACATTGATTGGTCACATCAGAAAAAAGTCCTGATTATAAGCTCACTGAAGGCAAGGACTGTCTCTTACAGTTTATTTTTTTTTTTAATGCCTAGTGTCTCTGCTCACTCTGGGCCTTTTTGTTTTGTTGAGTAAAGCTCTGAGATCTTTGCTGAAACTCTTTCTGGAGTCGTACTTGTCTGAATAGCTAAGGAGGAAGGTTGACCAGAAGGCTTCTGAAGTCCCAACAGCCTCTTCTGGGACCCTTCTTTGTTCTTACCAAAGAACTTGAGACATAGCTCCCTTCCAGTGAAAGACTAGAGCATTTAGTGTGGTATGGCTGTCTAGAAAATGACCGTGGTCTGAAACTCCTTAATAAAGGCTTTACCTTTGCTCTAAGCCTCAGAGGCAGTATGTACCAGCAGCCTATTGACATGAGGCCGCATAGCATTAAAGTCTAGAATATCAGGCTCCATTGCCATTCCATTTTACCCGACTGGGTTCCTCATGGTGAGTGAAATGGAGAGCATCCGTTGCCCACCTGCCTGCTTAACTCATCGTGTCCACCTTCACTCACAGATAATTGCAGTGACCTGAACTCAGAGCTGCAGAGGGTGCTGACGGGGCTGGAGAATGTCGTCTGCTGCAGGAAGAAGAGCAGCTGTAGCCTCTCCGTGGCCGAGGTGGACAGGCACATCGAGCAGCTCACCACGGCCAGTGAGCACTGTGACTTGGCCATCAAGGTATATGCTCCCCATTCTGGCTGGCTCTTTGAGGGCATGTGAGGGAAATGGTCAGATCTCTTTCTTCTGAAGTGTGGTTTTCTCAAATACCTGTTAGGAATGAGTGTTTCTAAGAAAACCGTACTATACTTCAGACCGCCAGGGAGAGGTAGGAGCCCTGTAAATTTTTGTTGGGCTGAATCATGTTTTAAAAAAAAGTCATTATGTCAGCAGTCAAGATCACTGGCTTTTCAGGAAAAGTGACGGTTTCCTTGAAAACTCAGACTCCTAGTATTGAACCGTATCATTTTAGTGTGGCCCATCATGTAGCACTCGCAAGTTGTAGGATTAACTTGGAAGTTTCATTTAAACTTTAAGGCCTCTCATATATTAATTCAGAAGTTAGCAATTCATGGTGCTAACAAGAGGGAAGTTCAGGGCCTGAGTGAGTCATCTGTCCTGAGCACACTGGACGAGGCCTCAGCCACACCTTCCACAGCCTTCCATCTTGGTGCCTTGGGAGCTCGAATGAGGAATGTGCTGCATCTGCACAGAGTCCTCATGAGAGCAATGGGAACGCCAAGGCCTATTGCTACTGGGCCTCTGGTATCTGTATATGACTTCACCACAGCTTAGTAACCTAGGCATAGCAGTTCAAACTGAAAAGTCTGGGAGGAGCCCACGTAAAGGGAAAATGTGACACATTAATTGAAAAATCCCTTCGACACTAGGCCCAAGGTTCTATCCACAGGAATCCTGGCTTTCACAAAAGCGCTGTGGTATCATCTCATGGTAAACCATGGTTCATATTTATAACACAGCTGGTTTTCCATCTTATTCATCGCAATTATAAACATATAGTTGATGTGGTTTGGGGAGGCAACCGCTGTCGTTTCTTTTGTTGGAGTCTCTGAGGCCCTGTATTTGATTGTAATGTCAATTTGGGTGTTAGTCCTGGCCTCAGCATTGCGAGGGCAGGAGGGGGTCGAGGGTTTCTGGCAACCAGCAAGGGACGGACGGAGTGGGCCTGGAGCAGGGCTGAGAAGAGCTTCAGATCTGAGGGGAAGGATGAAGCCCCACGTGTGGAAAGTGACGGCAAGATTTGTGTAACTTCTTCATCACGGAACCAGTGTGGGCATCCAAGGGTGTAGTCCCCTCACATTCTTGCATTTTTGAGACCACCTGTTTCTCCTCACATCTCCTCACATCTGCCTTCTGCCCTACATGGTCCTCCTCCCTCTTTTTTCCGTATCAGTTTGTTGGCTTATGCTTCCTATGCCAAAGGGCAGTGATGGGAATGAATAGTTTCTGAAGCAAAGCAGAATTACTTCTTTTTTTTTTTCCCTAATTTTATGCATGTCTCTTCTCCATTAATACTACATCTTAAATGAATTTGTAAAAGTCTCCAAGTACTATTAAGATTCTATTCTTTTTCGCTCATAGCTGTCTTATTAATTAATGAAATCCCTGCTGTCTTAGAAACATCCACAATGAGCTTCGTCTTTTCTGTGTCACTGAGGTTTATTTTTGTCTTCCACATCTTGGGACTGAACCTCATTCACACCCTCTGAATTCTGATGTGACACCAAAAGCTGGAAATGGTGATGTGACTTCTGCTATCCCAGAGTTGCAACATGGGAGGCCTATGATTTGGGAAACTTCAAGTTAGCTTTTGTGTGCTGTTTGCAACTTCGCACTTGCACTGTGAAGCCCGCTAATGGGCTTGCTGTCCGGTTACATGTATTTACCAACTCTGGAACGTGGACGGAGGACTGAAGCATTTGTATGGACGTGGCCGTTAGAACCACAGATAGACAAACATCCCATGAAGGGACTGTGTTGTTCTGACTCTGGGGACTGTTGGGAGACGCAGACTGTGACCCAGGCAAGTGACAGAGCCTTCTCTGAAAATGGGGAGAGGGTGATTTGGGGGTAGTCATGGTTAGTGTTAGCAGTGAAAGGACCGTAGAACCCACTCCTGTCGACACTCGCACCCATCCTGCCTATTGCCTTCCCTTCTCCTCGCTCCCAGGGAACCCACTGGGCTTGTCTTTGCGTTTTCCAGACAGTCGAGGAGATTGAAGGGGTACTTGGCCGGGACCTGTATCCCAATCTGGCCGAAGAGCGGTCTCGTTGGGAGAAGGAGCTGGCTGGGCTGAGGGAAGAGAATGAGAGCCTGACCGCCATGCTGTGCAGCAAAGAGGAGGAGCTGAACAGGACCAAGGCCACCATGAACGCCATCCGGGAGGAGCGGGACCGGCTCCGGAGGCGGGTGAGCGCACCCAGTCCGGCCTGGCCAGGCCTTCCCCCCGGGCTGTGGGGCTGGAAGACAAACAAGCATGTAAGAGCCAAGGGCAGCCCCAAGAATTTTGTGGCATTCGTAGTCTTGGGAATCTCCATCCCTTTCTGACCAGGAAGTCATTCTCAAAAGCGGAGTAGTTTGAAAGCGCTGAGGTATGCAGGTAAGATTTTAAAAAACACTATTCTCTGGAATCACAAATCTAAGTGGATGGTAAAATTTTATCAGTGCAGTGACTCTCAAACCGTTCTCCAGGGTATGCACGTCTTCCCCAAACTCAATTAAAATGTTCTTCCTTTAAGATAGACTAATAATATTTTATAATTTGCAGAAATAAATAGAATTTTCCCCTTTGCAGTTTCTTCTATAAAATTTTCTTTACATTTGTAGTACCTGCTCTCACCTGCGGGGACTCTGATGTGAAGCGTCCCCTCCTCTAGTGCATTTATTAAGGTTATGACAATCGTGTGTGTGTATGTGTGTGTTTATGTACGTACGCGTGTCACTTGTCATTCACCCCAACTTACCAAATGGTTCTGTGGCCTGCAGCAGCCTTCAAAGCAGAAAGCACCAAAACTTGCTTAGGAAATACATCCTTTGCTGAAGGAGCTGATGTTTCAGCAGAGTCATGTTTGGCAGAATTGTTAAAGCACTCAGTTTTCTAAAGACAAAGTATTTTTTTTTTCCTCCGGAACCCACAAGTACTTCTTTGTCTGGCTGTGAATTTGATCTGTGATTGGTCTGGAGCAGAGCAATGAATTCTTCAATCAGAAACATACCCTCTGAACTTCACTTTGAATTACTACACCGGCTTTACTCTCTCTCTCAATCTTGGCAATATTAGCAGCTTGCTTTCTAGCTGCGCTCTGACTGGCAATTCTGCACGCAGATAAAGCCGGCGTAGAGGGGCAAAGTACGTCTAGTAGATCCCTCATCCTTCACCATTGCTCTCGCTCCCTTACATTTAAAGAACACCTTGGAAATAACTTGTCTTCCGTAAGGTCAGCACGTGTACACCAGTCTGCTCTAAACGCACACACAGGTTTCCTTGGTTGCCATTATGCACGGATATGGAAGAAATGGCTATTTTTGAATATTACCAACTCTTGTCCTCATTTATGGCTAATGTCATAATTAAAAAGCCAGCATTCCTACCTGTTCTATCTGAGCATGATTTTGTCTGAACTCACATGCCTAAGCTTATTTTCGGTCCCCAGCTGGACGGGATGCCTTTCTGCACTCTGGCATCAGCAGGTGTAAATCATCCCAGTCAGCAAAGACTTTATCTGGGCAAGCTGATGAAATGCACTTAGTGCTGAGGCCCACACCACCTGGAATTTCCTGGGTTACATTCCCTGGTTGTTATGACTAATGCCCTAATTAGGCATGCTTGCTCTTAGCGTGCACATTCGGATGGTGCATGTTTTGTGAAGGAAATGTTGGTCTTAGGTGTAATTGCATATTGTGGTTTAGAATAAATTTCCTCCTCCCAACTTGAGTTACTAATGTACAAGGCAGCCCTGGATTGTGACAAGCAGAGGATGAAAAGCCAGTCCCCCTTCTGTGCAAGTATGTTCTCCAACTCTGGAGGTTATAAGAACAGCATAATGTGGGGCGCCTGGGTGGCTCAGATGGTTAAGCGTCTGCCTTCGGCTCAGGTCATGATCCCAGGGTCCTGGGATCGAGTCCCACATCGGGCTCCCGGCTCAGCGGGGAGCCTGCTTCTCCCTCTGACCCTCTCCCCTCTCATGCTGTTTCTCTCTCGCTTGCTCTCTAAAAAATAAATAAAATCTTTAAAAAAAAAAAAAAAAAGAACAGCATAATGTGGTGGTACTGTTATGATGTACCTGGGGTCACAGCCTGACCTACCAAGTCACCGTGAACCTTGAGCAAGTTACTGACCTCTCTGCTCACTTGACTCTGCCATGAGTGGGAATAAGAATAGTATCCAAGGCAGGAAAATCAGTTCATACTCATAAAGCACTTAGACAACCTTTATTCTTATTACCTTTTAAGTTTTGTAGTTAATATGGTTTTATATAATCTGTATTTCCATTACATCCAAATCATGAAATGTTGAGGAACTTGTGTCTCTTCCTCAACTGGAGATGTCCTCAGGAATGTGCATACCTACCCATGATTTATTTCTCTGTATTTCAAAACTAATTGTGGGTCTCATAGAATTTGCTAGCTGCCTTTGAATGCCAGTTTACTAGACTTTCAATGTTGGGTCACTTCCACCCACCACCACCCAATACATTTCATTTCCCTGAGGAATCTGTCTTCTGTGGTTCATTTTCTTCTGTTCTTCATGATGTGTAGCTCTGTGGAATGACTAAGGTAGTTTCATTTCCATCTCTGTGATACCACATGATACATGGCTTGTTTGCCTTTGCTGTCTTTAGTGCAGGTCTGAATTCACAGTTCGTCAGAGTTGCCTGAAAAGCACCTGGGGCCACTTTTTTTTTCATGGCCCACATTCACTGTATAGAATTTGAACTGACCAGATCAATAGGATTGGTGCTTGCCCCCTGCCTGTAATTAAACAAAGTGCTCTCAGTAGGTTTTCTAAGCCTTGCTCAAGATTTAATTAAGTTAGATCTTTAATGTCAGTTAACAGATTGGGCTACTTGGCAGAGCAGTAACTAAGGAACAACAGGCAGACAATTTTTATTATTGGTCCCAGCTCGTTATTAAATGAGATAATCATTTATTTCTTCATGCTTTGTAATATAACCACTCATTTCCTCACACTTAAAGAATTGGGCTTAATTTAGGCAAGGTAGGATTAATTACCCTAGAAAGGAAGCACTCGGCTCTTCATTCATTTATTCATTTCATGAACATGACTGGCCATCTTCTCTGTGCTGGGCAGAGAGGTTGCAGTGATAAACAGGACACTGTCCTTGGCTGGGAGGATGTTGGGGAGACAGGCCGGTCAATAGGTTGTTACAATGTTGTAGGGAGGATAGAGCACAGAGGGTGCCCGGGCAGTCCACAGGAGGGACTTTGGATGGTAGGTCCAGCTTCTCCACATTACCTTCATCTTTGACCTAGTCGTTTAGGTCAACTGCCGTGTAGCAAAAATGATCAGTGCTTTCCTCAGATAGTTTGGTAAAGCATAGTCTGGTAAAATTTTCGGTAAAACTATGACCACAAGCTCATGAATCTGTGTCCCATTGAGTCATAGACTTGAATCAAAATTAGGCCACACGAGTTCCTTCTGAGATTTTGTACAAATTCTTCAGAAAGTTCTGCAAATTCATGGCCTAAGGTGGTGGTAGGAGTTTGTTCTTTGTACCTTACGTCCCACCTGGGTATTTTCATCATGTCGGGAAATGAATTTCATCAACCTCTCCTGGACTTCCTTCATCCTTGGGATCTGACTTCTGCTTTGAGTCTCTGGTCATCACCACAGTAAATTCAAGAGACTAGAAGATATACTGTCTTGAACTAAATAAAAGTCACCTTAATCTCAAATTTCTCCCTCTCTACTTCTTCTGCTTTCCCTCCAAAAGTCTTAAAAACCCTTAGTGTTAGTTAATTGACTTGGCTGGGGCAGGGGAAGGGGGCAGTATTTCCAGTAGTGGTAAGAAGACACAAATGTCTGTCTTTTCCAAACCAATTACTCTTGATTCCTAAATGTGGTGTTACATTTATGAAGGGATTTCATTGTTCTGTGTTCATAGGACCCATGTAATTCAAATGGAATCCCCCAGTTCAGCTAAAGTCTTTTAAAATATAAATGAGGACTCAGCTCCAGATTTTTAAATGGCTGCCATGTGGCTCCTTGGCCAGGAAAAAGGACGAGTAAATTTCTAGAATGCTGCAGTGCCCATTTCCTCCCCCCTCACCTTGTCCTACTAAGCAGGAAGTAAGCCCAAATTCCTGGTAATGTAGCCTTTGGGGAGGAAGGGAGCGGAAGCTGTGAAAGGAGGATTACAGGTAAAAAGAGAGAAATTTCCTTCACACACTGTGCTCTCTGAGGACCATTAACTCTGAGGCTTTTCAAAGTAACAGTCCTGTCATATATTCCTTTAGGCCACTTTTTTTTTTTTTAACTTATGATTATAGTTTTATTATCGCAAAAAATCAGAAGCAGCCAAAATAAAGAGGCACAGGTCTGGAAGGGCTCCAAATGCAGACGTTCCTGATGTCTTCTCCAGGTAAAACCCTGGGTGGTGTTACCGCCTTTTCGGGCAATACTCAGAGCATCACCAACGAGGGAAGTTCCCCCGAACTTCAGTATAAGTTTTTATTGGGGTTTCTCGATGTCGGCATGATTTATTACATTATGGGCCGTGTGGCTGAACTCCATTTCCAGCCCCTTCTCCTTCAGGGAGATAAGGCTGAGATCCTGGAGGCTCCTTGTAAGTTTGTGCCATGACAGGTGGGCTGGAGCTGCACTGTGTCTGCCGCTGTCCTTCTCCTAGAGATCCAGGAGGATGGAAGGCTCCAGGGCTGTGCCGCTCAGCCAGGTGTGTGACACACAGGTCAAGCACGCGTCCCACCAACTCACCAACCAGGGCCATTTAGAGAGCATCCTCTTCTATGACCTCAAGGTCCTCCCCTAGAGCCATTAGTTCTAAATTCCACTGGTTCTACACACCAGTTCCACCTTCAGTATCCACATGCACCTGCTATTATGTCCAAGGGTGCTTGTCTCATCGGGGGTCACGTTTAAAGGAGTTGGAAAGAAGAATCCAAAGTAAGCCAAAGGGCCTATTAGAAAGAGTAATCACCTTTAAGTTGACTGTGTGTTTTATTGTGTACTTTTTTCCAGTCATTCATTCGTTTATAATACCTATTTACTAGTAGGCTGCCCACCTCTACTGGGAAATGAGATTTCTAGTGTCACACTGTTGCCTCCAGAGCACGGTCTGTCTCTGAAGCAGCCATTTACTTGGTCTGACTGTCTCCTGTTATATGCTAAGTCAGTAGCTCTTTGATATTTTTAACTAAAAAACAGTAATAGTGGAGATATTTCTGGAAGTGAAATTGTTGTGACCTTATGTAGGTTAAATAAAGATTCATCTCCGATT